CCCGTAATATTACATTGTTCGCTTATAATGGTAAAAATAATATGACATTTATATCGCGCAAATCCGTAAAACAATCATTGCTCTATGTGCATTGCATAAGGTTCATGAAAAACATGCATATACATGCACATATATAATAATATATGCCCTAAAAAATAATAGGTAGGTGTCACGACTTGGTGGGATCAAGCGCTCGTCAGTTTTGATTTTGAGGCGTACAGAGTTATTGCTATCATCTTAAAGCCTGTCCATTTGCCTACCTTTTGATGAAAACAATATTTATCTATGCTGAATAGAAGTCGAAATATTTGTGATTGAAGGAGGTGGGGTCACCTGATTTCAGAGGTAAATTTCGTGAGAAAACGGCCGCCAAAGTTTGATAACTTCAATAGCTTGAGAGCCTTTAAAACTGAAAAATCACAAATTTTGTGCATGTAATGAACGTTCTTCAGTATGGACGTAAAAGGTGTTTAGCGCAAAAAAAATTTTTTTTAAGATCCCAAACCTGCGGAAAAATGCCTGTTTTTTTTCACTTTTATTATTTTGACGAGCGCCTGATTTCACCGCGCTGCCTCACAATTAGAGTAAATCATTCAAGGAAAATATTGTATACACACTCTTTCTTACTAATAAAAGGAAAAAATTGAGACTCATGTCTATAACGAAAACGCTGTAACTTAAAAAAAAAACCCAACAAGTTACACAGTGGAATTATGATAAAATGAACACCCCGGACAGAAAAAAAGTGTTGACTTTGAGCAAGGTTGACTTTATCATTGTACTGCTGGTCATTGAAAATTGAAGATGACAGCTACAAATTTACAAAGTACCTGGTAATAAACAAGTTGTAATCTTAATTAGTATAATTCTGAAGTTGTCACCAAAACAAGAGATAATGAAAGAACAAAGTACTTATGTAATTGGAGGTGTATACACCACTTGCTCAGGCGAAATATCTCTTCTTGAATGAATTCATCTTTGGATTTAGCCCCAAATTGTTGACTTTACTAAACGTTAACACTCAAGCGGTTGACTGTATCAGAAACACAATTACTTTAACAAAGAAGGTAAGAAACGGGACTACAGTGAGGAGTTGACTGTAAGTAAGAGTTGACTTTAAGCAAGTTGACTTTATCAGGATTCCACTGTATCTCTGTTATTATTGATCATTTATGCTGAAAAAAAAGTGAAATTAAATAGATTTCTATCATCAACAAATGCAGAGTTTATCATTACGTCGAAAATATTTTCCACCTTATAAAAGTGTAGTATTACATTAGTTCAAGACCCCCCCCCCTCCCCCTTTCTTACACTTTTCGTACAGGAGCCAAAGACCCCCCCCCCCTCCCAGGCGTAAGATTATATTTGAACGGCCCCAAAAAATCATTCTCTCGGCGGCGACGTCATAATTCGTCCTTCGATCAATTTCGCTGACAAATTGACGTAAAAGAGCAAATCAAAAACAATCAGACGCTCAGCCTACCTTTATCTCTCAGCAATTTCTCGTACTCACGAAGAGGCAAAATGATGCCCGACACATTTGTCAAGGAGTTCCTCTCCTCTCCTTGAGCTGCGGGACACGAAAAGGTACCGTAAGGTTTAGTTACGGTACAGGCTGTGGTACGTTATAATTACGGCGAGGAATATAATTTCGCCAAGAAAAGGGTTAATGCAGTTTAGTAAGAATTGTCATATAAGTGCTAAAGATTAGAGGCTTTCGAGAGGGTAGCATACAAAGAAAAGAAGAAGAAGAGACAAGGAGAAAGATGTTTGATAGGAATGAAGAAGTAAACGACACTTGAGCACCCGCCAACAACCCACAAGAACAACTAATGGTAATATTTTTTTTCTTTCTTTTTTTTTTTTGGTAAGTGTTTTACGGCGCTCGCAACTGCAAAAAGGTCATATGAGCGCGGGGGACATACCAAACAAGTTGGTAGGAAATTTTGAATTTTGCCCAGGTGGTGGCCGAAGCTTACTCTTATCGATTTTTGACCACCAAGGGATATTTAAAGTGCACAACTTGCCCCTCCGAGATTTCTCACCCTTTTCCGAGGAGGATAGGTGAAGACTCCTCGTTTTATACCCCTACTTTCGCCATCACCACCCCCTCCCCCACCCCAACACACCAGTGTAAACATTATAATATAATGTGAAAGAGCTGAAATATGGTAGAGTCTAGAAACAATATTAGGAATAATATATGATGGAAGTTACTGAGATTAATAGAAACTGACTTGATCGGCACAGACAAAGAAACACTACTAGAGTCTATGCTAGAAAACAAACTGAAAGTGAGAAGCAATCAACTGCTGGTCCTGGCCTCCAGTACTTTAACCTAAGACTTTTGCTTTCTACACACCCACACGCAATATCGACGTGCACTCGACCTGTAAATATGTCCATGTAATAAGAACTGTCCTGTATGATGACAAAAAGTCAATTGATACTGTACCAGTGACACTGTCCCATGCAGATTAAGTCTACAATCAGATACTATACAAAGCTGGACAAAGTTAGCACACAACAGTTTTCCATCATAATGCAATCAAACGTTCTTCATCGTACTTCTCAGTTCTCAGAACACTGTTGTAACAAAGTGGGGAAGCGTGTCAAATGCTAATTATAGAACTTGGTGTCTAGTCCATCATTGGTCTAGTCTGGCTGCGGTGACGGTGGAAAAGGGAAGGGAAGGGAGGGGGTAGGCCTATTGTTTTCGGTCCAGACTCTGACAGCCGAGCTCCTATCGCTCCTCGTTATAATTCTCCTTATATATCTTCACTAGACGATTCCTCTTTTCGCCGGCTAGAGTCAGAATGGCCAGGTAAGTTATTAGTGGGGAGAAACCGCTGAATAAATACCAAACAGGAACTATAGGTGGCTAAAAATCCAATAAACAAAATAGATTAGTGCCATGCTGACAATAATGATATTTAGAAAAGGGCTGAACGATAAATACATGTACATTTACTGCTGATAAAATAATACATGTGTCTGTGCTGCTCAGAACAGTCTCATTCTTATTGTAAGCAACACAGAGGCCAACTTGGCAATCAAGGAATACTCTATTCGCTCTGAGGGCAGTCGATGGATTTGTCCAGCGGACTGACGTCATCGCTGAATCGCTGAACCCGCGTGTTTGGTTTGTCCTCGTACAAAGTTCCGCGACGGGACGGTTTGACGGGGAACGATTTAAAGTTACGAGCCGGCGCGATAAACAAACGAGAAGGAATGAGGCTCTGTCTCGACGAAACAGCAATGAATCCCACTTGTCTATTTGAGTGCCTTCAAACCGGCAAGGTACTTTTTGAATGTTGATACATGTTTGTTTGGATTTACTTAAAACTGAATGAAAATCATCGTCAGCAATAAACCTCTAGTCAACAGTCCAGCTGACCAAAATCTGACCGGCACCACCGGTCTTTCCCAGTTAACAAACCGCCCCTGGATTTTGGTAACCAATAAAATGTTCTTATAACTGTACTGAAGGTTGAACAATTCTAAGCAGGATCGGAGCCTCCTATATTCCCCTGTCCCGTTAAAAAAAATAAATAAACCTGATCCTTATGAGATAGATCAACACAAAAAAGAGCTAGAAGCAGAATAAACTGCACTCTTTGCCTGCGTTGCACATTTGTCAGGTCACAACGCGAACATGGTTTAAGTGGAAAATAAAAACCAGCCCAACAGTACAGTAAGACGTAGCATATTTTATAAGAATCTCGCATTACATATTTTATAGTTTAGCGGTCAATTTTTGCCGTTGTTGCTGGAATCATGCACACAAATTAGAGAATATCTCAACGGGCCATGATAATTCAGGTCCATAGCACTGGACGTTGGTGAGTGGTTTGGGGAGGGGGGGGGGGTTGTTTCTTTTAAAAATATTATTTCACAACTTTCATTACATTTTGATTCACCCCTATAGTATAAATATAGATGTAGCATGACTCACGTTTTCTCTGACAACAGAAGAACTCGTAGCACAGAGTGTTGCTGGTGTCCAGCCAACCAGGCGCACAGCCTGTGTCCTCCTCTCCCGCTGCCTGACGTTGCTCCTGGGGAGTGCACCATGCAAGATCAAAGCTGCTGCTGCTTCCGCAGAGAACTGAACCATGCTTAAACAATGTGGCATTGTGGTTACAGGCACAGAAACTTCGCTACGCGAGAATTGTAAAGTTCTGCCTGTTCAGTAACTAATTTAGAGGAATTTGACGTTAAAATTTGTGAGTATCACAACATGTCAGGCTTTTTTAAAATGCAGTTCTTTGATTATCGAAAAACGACTCCAAATAATTTTACAATTTTGATAGAGCAGATAGATCATAATTTAGTTTCTGACCTCATGTTCAGAGTGACTCAAAACGTCCAAAGATGTCTGATAGAACTTTGTAATTCTAAGATAGCGACTTGTCTGTAGGAAGTAACACTCTGACAAAGGCAATACTCGAGTCCCTGGTCAAATATATCTTCTAAAATGGGAGTGCTAAAAAAGACTTTTCGGAATCTGGGAATGAGAGAACCAGTTTCCGAAACCTGTTTTGTATAATTCTCACATAATGGATAAAGCTTCAAAGTTGGGTTTTTTGGAACCTTTTGGTAACCTTTGACTCACTGAAGTATCTTTCAGCACTTCTACCCTTTCTCTATAAATAAGTAGATGTACAAAGCACCGAACCAATTTTGTGAGCAGTGTTGGAGGGTGTGGTTTGTAGCCTATCTATTCTTGGACACACCCCTACCCACTCCACTCAAAGCTTTCACGCATCTAGATAAACACTGTGTTGTACGGAAACCTAACGAAATTTTGAGATTTGTATATATATATATTCTTGTTGCTCCTTGCCTCAATAGATACGGTTGCGACTGCTTGACACTCAGCATGCATCACTGAATGCGGAAAGCCATTGTGAAATCTCTCATGACGTTTATCTAAGGATGTATTCATCAGCTAACTCGGCCAAGCTGCCTTCTTCCTGTTTCAAAGGAAGAATGTAGTGGTTGGACTAGCTCGGCTAATAATCATACTAATAATTCCTCTGTCAATGTCTGTCGATGGCCAATGCATCTGCAGCAGAGACTATTTCTATAGCAAAATGGAAAAAATAAAGATTAAGTTGACTTGTGGCTTCTACTATGGCCAACAGACCAATTCTTTCAGAGAAGAGTTTGCCATATTTTAAGCGTTCAAAAGCTTCATTTCCACTTCTAGACGTGCGCAGATTGCAGGCTTCTCTCTTAACCTCAGCATTTTTAATTCGTGAAACCTCATATAATTTGCTACCCTCCGTGCTTGCTACTCCCCAACTAAGTCTGACTGTTAGGAGCTAGGCTCTCCCAATCCAAGGGATTAATGTGAAAGTCCTGAGGAGACATTGGTCGGCTGGTGTCCACTTTATTAAAAAAACAAACGAAACCAGAAATAACAATAATAATAATTTCAAGTTACAAATTAGAAAACGAAGCTGGTTTGCAATGCAAATTATACAAAGTACCCGCATGGCTTTGAAGTCCGAGCGCCGGTTGTAAACTCTCCAGCAATGTAGGCACATCAAGGCGAGGACGATCAGCAGAAGAACCAAGAACACGATGAGTACAATGAGCATGTCACGGATACTGGACGCAGTTCCTCCAGCTGCTTCCACTTCCACCATCTGTTTTGTTGGGAGAAGAATTTGTTATTTAATTACCTTAGAATTACAAAGTTCTATCTGACATATTTGTCAGTTTTGAGTCACTAAGACCATGAGTTCAGAAAGTAATTTATGTTCTATCTGCTCTATTAAAATCGTAAGATGATTCGGAGTCGTTATCAAAGCTGCATTATTGCAACATTTTTTAAAGTCAAATTTCTCAAAACTAGGTACTGAGCAGATAGAACTTTAGTGGGGTAGCGATTTGCTACATTAGTTTTCTATTTTCAGAATTGTTAATTTTTTACCTTGACCAAATTGTATCAACGGGCGCTTTTGTGTTTAATAGTTCCAACAAAATGTGCAGCGCTTTAAAATCTGAAGTTAATGTAAGTGGAAGCAAACAAGAGAAAGGCTGTTTGCCCTTACACTTCTTTAGGGGGGATTATTTTCCCCACGTTTAAACAGTTTGCTAGATGGTTGTTACCCCGATTCTTTGGTCATTGAATTTGAAATTAATGTGGGTGGATCGAGGGATATAGATCGAACAATCTGCAGTCCTACCGACTAGGGAAACATTTCCCCAAGTGATAAGGTATACTACGCACACACCACAGTCCCCGACAAAAGTATGGCATCTTTTCCACATGTCTACCACGCTACGACGTCTCTTTTCGTGTTGATCTGTAGTCCAAAAGTCTCACAAAGAAAAGAATTAACAAAAAACAAAATAATAAAAAATTAAAAATTAAATTATATTAAAATTAAAACTAAAAACTAAAATAAAATAAAAAAGACCAGAGCAAATACACCCCCCCCCCACTTTCCCCCCAAATGAAAGCTAGAAAAAACCACCAACAAACATAGAAGTAGAACAGAAAAACAAAATAACAAGGAAAACGAACAAGAAAAAAGTATCAAGAGAAAATACGTATGCAAATCAAGATAACTCACCAGCCTTTCCAACAGTCTGTGAATATCAAGATACATGTGTAGATACATTTAGATCTAAGCCTAGTGAAGGCAGATGAAAGCCAAATTTCACTTTAATGAATAATTAATTTTCTTCGATCCCGTTTTTTTAAATTCAACTTCTTTGTGTTGAGTATTTGAAGTCTGAATGATTATGACCGGAACGCAATAGTCATCTTTTGGCTTTTAGTGACCAATTACGATAGATGGCTGCAGTCTTCCCGTCCTTTGCACCTTCTACTTTAGACTTTAGCCCGATTTCTGGGCGAGTCTAGCCCCAAAAGAAGGGGAAAAAGTGCATCAAGATTGTCCAGTTTGAAGTTTTGTGTGTAAACGCAAAGGTAACATGAAGATATTAAACAGGGGATATAATCCATGAAATTATAAAGAATTACACTAAAGTCTTGTGCTAATTCCCTTCTTTTATTGAGCTCTTTAATATAATTATAATGAATGGTTGCATGGATCCAATTAACGAAGATCACGAATTATCCCCAGAGTTTCACTTATGTATTTGATATATCTGTCTGTCATTTTGTCTGTTTATTTAACTATGGATGTAGGTAGGCAGACAGGCATGCATGCAGGCAGGCAGGTAGACAGGCAGCAAGGGGGTTGTTCAAACATAATCTTACCCCTGGAAAGGGGGGGGGGG